ATACAAGAACTGGGGTACAGGCCAGATGCGCGGGAGGGTGAGAGGATTCACCAGAGACAGAGCAGGGAACAGAACAGGCAGACTGACGAAATACACTGCTGATGGGAGCAGTGGGCGAGACTGGAGAGGTCTGCAGCGTCATGTGGGATCCTCGCTGGCCAGCCGCGTTCGAACTGGCTCTGCAGAGGCTGTAGACAGCTTCACAGCGCTGTGCTCAGCCACCTGCACCACCAGGGCAGGCCCTGTTAAATGCTTTTTAAAGAGCCATACGTATATGATTATTCTGTTCATATGAAGAAATGTGCTTTTTCCTTAATGTTAAAGCCTTATGGAGAAGCAAATGTTATATAGACTGAGGTATTTATATATTAAAATATGTGGAGGGAGGTTCTGGAAAAAAAAAATTAAAATATATTTGTTCAAGAAATTAAGATGCTTGGTTTCTTTGTATTTAGGACTTAAGGTTCCAATTCCTTAGTCGAGGTGTCCTCTGGTAAACTGGTCTAGTCAAGTTTAGTCTCTGTCGCACACCCTAATATTTAATTTAGCAAATATTTATTGAATATGTTCTATGTTTATGCCTTGTTGGTAGTAAAAGTATGGTGTATTGTGGTAATGTTGCTGTAGTGATGATGCCTCAGGCAAGGTTATAAAACTTTAAAAACATGGTACAGTGGATTTCAAACCTTTTCTTAGATTAATGAAATGCACATTTATTAGTGACTCAAATATCACACTTAGTTTTGCTGTTCATGATGCTTTCCAAAATATTGAGGAACTTTAAAAATTAAGATTACTAACAGAATATCACATTCTCTGAATTTATAGGGTAGTTGTATTCCTGGAAAAATCTGAGTATATTTTAAAGCCTTGTACAACTCCCTTCTCTGGTTTATAGAGGCAAAATGTGGTTAGGTGCAGATAATTATAAATAGATTTGACCTGCATGATTTCAGTATTACTTTCTATATTTGAATGGGATGTGGATCAGTTCTTTCTTAAAGGGATTAAGTTTTCAAATTGTAAGACATCCATCCCTTGTTTCTGCTCCATAAACTGGTAGCATCCTTTAACTCTGTCAATTTAAACAGAATTACCTCTGCACAATTCTATGCCTTATAGGGGGTGATATTAATTCAACGAGAATTGCTAGGCTAGAACATCCGACCAAAGGAGAGGCTTTCTCTGGAGAGGTATGCTGAGACATTAACCTTGCTACCAGACTGGAACGAAGTTAAAAAAAAAATAGTTTCCGGGCCTCCCTGGTGGCACAGCGGTTGAGCGCTGTGTTGCGAAGCTGCCCGCAGCCTCTGCAGCGCCGGTTCGATCCCCAGCTGCTCCCGGCCACCGGAGGAGGGTCCCGCATGGCGCGCAGACCTCTCCTGTTGCCCGTTGCTCCCCTCAGCAGTGTACTTCGGTCCTTCTGCCTGCTCTGCTCCCCACTCTGGCTCTGGTGAATTCTCTCACCCTCCCGCGCTTCTGACTGTACCCAGTGCTTGTATAAATAAATAAATAAATCTTTAAAAAAAAATTAAAAAAAAGTTAAAAAAAAAAACTACAAATAGTTTCCAGTTAAGAGAGATATAGAGGCAGGGCCTCCCCGGTGGCGCAGTGGTTGAGCACTGGGTTGCGAAGCTGCCTGCAGCCTATGCAGCGCCGGTTTGATCCCCGGCCACAGGGCGAGGGTCCCACATGGCGCGTAGACCTCTCCTGCCACCCGCTGCTCCCCTCAGCAGTGTACTTCGGTCCTTCTGCCTGTTCTGCTCCCCGCTCTGGCTCTGGTGAATTCTCTCACCCTCCCTTGCTTCTGACTGTACCCAATGCTTGTATAAATAAATAAATAAATAAATCTTAAAAAAAAAAAAAAAAAAAGAGAGATATAGAGGCAAAAGACTTTTTCATGGAGCTAGCTAGGTTTCATTCTGTAGCTAAGGCGAGAGCAAAATATTAATTAGCAGCAAAACCAGAGGGCATGATGGAATGATTTGGAAAGGAGCAAGGAATACTTGATTGGATCAGATTAGGGATTGTACAGAGAGTATGGAGTACAGAATCCAGGGAAGTTGAGTATACTGTCAATGACTGAGGTAAAAATGGAAGTGAGACCTGATAGAGTTCTTTCAGCAAGTGTCTTAAGAAAAGTTAAGTTACCTATACTTAGAACTGCAGAGCAGATGAGCCTATGTAGAATCCTCATCTAACTACAAAGAATATGTCAAGTTGCAGCCACTCTTGTTGCAACTCCTAGTAATTCTGTGTTTTGCAAAGTGACCCAGACACAGAGTATCTGAAACAAACATTTCACATAAAAGTGCTCACTGATATTTTATATTTTCTTTACAAAATTTTAGAGTTGCAGTGCACTGAATGGATTTCATGACTAATGAATAGGTTGTACCCAGCAGGTGGAAAATTGCAATTAGGATTTGTAATCAGACTGCTTAGGTTGGCATTCTAACTGCCCTTCTCAACAACTTTGTGTCCTGGAGTCCCTTACTTAATTATAATCCTAACATTCATCCCTTTAAAGTACTACACACATCCTAAAGTGTCTTTGTTGTTAAGAACTATACGGAGTGCTAGATGGTAACACTTTACACTACCCTGGACACCTAGAAAATATTTGCCTGATAATAGTTGCTATTACTAATAATATTTTTTTATTTTTATTTTTTTAAAGATTTATTTATTTATACATCCAAGAACTGAGGTATAGGCCAGAGGTGTGGGAGGTGAGAGGATTCACCAGAGACAGAATGGGGAGCAGAACAGGTGGATTGACTGAAATACACTGCTGGGGGGAGCAGTGACCTCAAGACAGGAGAGGTCTGCTGCGCCATGTGGGTAGCTCCCTGATGGGACATCGAACTCATGCTGCAGTGGCTGCTGATAGTTTCATAGTGCTGAATGTAGAGTTTTAATTAGATTTAGGTTCAGTCAGTGTCTTGATTGTGCTTTCAAATTTTGATGTTTTCCTATTAAGCATGATAGTGCATTGATTTGATATTTTTTTTAAGAGTTAAAAGCGATTCTTTTTAAAATCATGACTAATTTCTTAAACTTTTGTACCATTTACTAGATTTCTTTTATGGATCGTGTTTCCATCTAGGATATATCATTTTTCATAGGATTAAATTGCCTAATATGTTGTCTAACTAGTCTTTCTACTTTTGGCCCCTGTTCCTGTGAACCTGTACCCAAATTGCTGTATTCATCTTCTTTTCCTAAAATCAGTTTTGATCATGTTTTATTTACATTCCAGGGAATTTCAGCACTGTAATATCTTTCTGCACTATGTAAAGAAAAGCCCAGAGTGCTTAAATGGCTTATTATTTATGTTCCCTTGTAATCAGAGTGTATGCTTTTCCAGTCCTTACCTTTCTTTGTCAAGAACTGTGAAGATCCTGAGATCTTACCCTCCTTGCAAGCTAACATGTTAGTTTCATGGATCCTGGCAGAAGACACTTGTCTCCTCTGTTAGAGGAGTCAAGGGTGATTCGTTACTCAGAGCAGTAGAAGTAGCAGTAGACGTAGCCACAGTACCACCATTTTTCTTGTGCTGGTGACATAAGCACCAGTTCCCATAGTGCGATACGATGAGGGCCAGGTGATAGCTAGACATACCTTCAATTGCATTACAGGAGAGTACCCTAACATTTTCTTGACTCTGAGTCTACCTTTTCTTTACTCCACTAACATCTGTTCTGCAGCTTGGCTTAACTTAGGATTCCATATCAGACAGATGCTTTCTTTCATATCACCTGTTGTGGACCCTCTGTCTTTGAATGTGCTGCTTATTTACCATATTCCAGATACTTCAGTGACTGATCATTTTTGGTTTACACAGTGACCTCAATCTTAATGTTCACTGTGTACATTTTTAAAGTCCTGTTGTCTTCTCTGCCATACTGTGCATTTGGTATCTTTAGTATTTAGAGTGGCTTCAGAGACATTATTTTTTGTCTTTCAAAGGCAGTGTATTAGTTAGGAATGAACAGATCACCCATTCCAAGTGGGTGTAATGAATATAGTTTTGTTTTGTTTGTTGTCTTGTTTTTTCATATAAGATGTCTGGAGATGGTTGGTGATGTTAATTTTGCTTAAGCTTTTTTTTTTTTTTTTAATAGAGGCATGTTTTATTTATTTATTTGTTTGTTTTTGTTTATACATGCACTGGGTACAGTCAGAAGCACGGGAGGGTGAGAGAATTCACCAGAGCCGGAGCGGGGAGCAGAGCAGGCAGAAGGACCGAAGTACACTGCTGAGGGGAGCAGCGGGTGGCAGGAGAGGTCTGCATGCCATGTGGGACCCTCCTCCGGTGGCCGGGGAGCAGCCGGGGATCGAACCAGCACTGCAGAGGCTGCGGGCAGCTTCGCAACCCAGCGCTCAACCGCTGCGCCACCGGGGAGGCCCTGCTTAAGCTTTTTTACCATCTGAAAGTCTCGTTTTTCTGTATCTGCAGTTCCAAATTATACTATATCCATCCTTCAAATTATATGCTCTTCTATAGAGTCTTTGTAGAAGACTTGCCTCCCAAGTGAAAATATTCTTACATATACTCACAGGTAATCTGGTCTTTATCATTGTTGTGAGTGTATGTGCATGCATGCCACCTTACCTTTCCTACCAGACTATAAATTCTATGTTTGTGCTTTATCTTTGGCTACTCTCCAAAAGTTTAATGTAGACACAGTCTATTTACTTGTTGAACAAAAGGTAAAGAATGTGCGATCCCTACCTTTAAGTAAACACTAACACTGGTAGTTAGAGCTTGGGGGAAAGATGTGGTGATAGGGGTATGAATGTGGAGGTTCAGGTTTTAAGCAGATAATTTTGTTTGTAAGAATTAGATGTCTATATTGGTGAAATGAACACCCATATTGTGAAAATTAGTTTCTGAATTCATAAATATTTTTAATGCTACTAAATATATCTTTACAAACTATGACAACATTATCGATAGTATGTGAAAATATAATGGAAACAATTCTTTCTTTCAGTGCCTAGATGAATATGAAGATGATGAAGCAGGACAGAAAGAGCGGAAAAGAGAAGATGCAATTACGCAACAGAACACGATGCAGAATGAAGCTGCGAGCTTATTAGATGCAGGCACTTCCTATCTGCTTCAAGTGAGTATTTATTTTTTAAAGATTTATTTTATACAAGAACCAGGGTACAGGACAGATGCTCGGGAGGGTGAGAGGATTCACCAGAGACAGAGTGGGGAACAGAACAGGCAGACAGACTGCTGAGGGGAGCAGCGGGTGAGACTGGAGAGGTCTGCTGTGCTGTGTGGACATCTCCGCTGCAGGTGGGGATCGAACCGGCATGGACAGCTTCACAGCGCTGAGCTCAACCGCTTACGCCACCAGTATTTCAAAGTACCAGGAAGTCACTAGCTACTTTAACAATAATTTTTAAGCTATTGTTAATAATTTTTTCAGTCTTTGGTTGCATCAGCTCCGTTTAGTTATTTTCAGCGAATCTGATCACTGATTTTTTGACGTAAGCCTCGTTTGGTTCTGAGTTCATGATCAATGAAAATTTGCTGACTGACTAAGCAAGTTTAAACAGTATCAATTATAAAAATAATCAGGAAAAAGATTTACCTTTTTGCTCTGAAAAAAGTAAGAATTCTTAAGTTTCTGCTTTAGGTTGATATTTACTAAGAATCACATAGCAGATAGAGAGTTGAACAGGAAGTTTCTACAAAAATCAACTGTTTAAGCATAATAATAAAATACAGTATTTTAGTATTGTGACTTGCCAGAAACATCTATATTCCTGTGTAATATAAAGTATTTTTTAAAATAAAATGTAAGTTTCAAATGAGCTGTTCTGGGTCCTTGTGGCACAGAAAATTGGAAGTTGTTAGTATTTGGATGCTTTGGTGTAAAGTAAATCACTTTGTAGAATCATTTCATATAAGCTAATTTGGAAATGATCATGATAAAATCTAATCTTATTTTCAGTGGCGGTTTGGTTGAGATCTTAAACTAAGTTGTATTTTAGAGTTCCAGTTTTGACTTTTTAAATGCATTTCATTGTGATACTGCTTAAAAGGAATTTCTGAACTGTATATACAACTCCTGTTATTGATAAAAAAGATGAGCTATAAATCTTAATTTTCAAGATTATGATAAAAGGCATTTGGCAGAGAAGGCAGACTATATCGAAGTGGTTTGGAAATGCAGATAGAAAGCTCTTTTTCTGTTCCTTGAGACAGGGTGATGCAGATTTATGTGTTCTTCAACCATGTCTCTTCTTGCTACATCACGTTTTCCAATGTTGATATTTTGAATTAGTCCTAAGGGCCACAGTTAGCATGTTATACTGTAATTTTACCGAGGGCTATAGCTTTGTTGCTAGTTTATTTGAATAGCTTTAGTATTATTTTTCTGTATTTATCTGATCTTATTACACATTTGCTTTGTTTTATTATAAACAAAAATATTTGTTTATACTTTACAAGTTCTGATCTGGCACTGCACCTGTAAAAGTGTTCATGGGATTTCCTTATTGACCATTCTAAGCTTGAATGAAGAAGAATGTTTTATTTAAGCTAACACAAAAAAGTTTGTGCCTTGCCAAATTTTCTAAGCTCTACATTGGTCTATTCACTGCTTCAGTAATATAAACCATTGCATTATAAGGAATATTATTTCAGGAAAGGTATGTTTTAAATCAGTTGTATAACAGACTTTGGTGTTATTAGAAGGTCTAGTTACATAGTCTTTGAAACTTAAGACCATTATCAGTCTTAGCCATTGAATTGTTTTTTACAAGTATTTTCAGATACTGGCATTTCTACTTGCCTCCCCCCCCCCCCCGATTTAGAATGAAATTGTCCACTCTGTTATAGTACTTATTAAGTTGCCACTCTAGTTGGAAATCATTTATTTATTTATTTTTGAGATAACATTGGTTTACAGCACTGTATAAGTTTCTTTTTTTTTTAATTTTATTTTTATATTGCCCATACAATTGCAACCCCCTTATTTTCACCCCAAACCCTCCTTCCCCCCCACCCCCATAGTGTGTCTCTGGTTCATAGTTGTTTGTTGATTTTGATTTTTTCTTTCTTATAGTTATTCTTTTTCCTGGTCCCTTATTTAGGTTTTCTAGATTCCTGCTATGAGTGAGACCATCTGGTATTTTTCTTTTTCTTTCTGGCTTATTTCGCCGAGCATGATCCCTTCCAGCTCCATCAATGTTGCTGCAAATTGCATGTGTTTATCTTTTTTGAATGCTGAGTAATATTCCATGGTGTATATGTACCACATCTTCTTGATCCAGTCATCTGTTTTTGGGCATTTGGGTTGTTTCCAAAGCTTAGCTATTGTAAATAGTGCTGCTATAAACATTGGGGTGCAGGTGCTCTTTGGAATTGATGTTTCTGTGTCCTTTGGGTAAATACCTAGGAGAGGACTTGCTGGCTCATATGGAAGCTCTATCTTTAGTAGGTTGAGGAATCTCCACACAGATTTCCATAGTGGTTGGACCAGTTTGCACTCCTACCAGCAGTGCAGGAGAGTTCCTTTTTCTCCACAACCTCACCAACAATTTGTTGTTGCTACTTTTTTAAATATGTGCCATTCTCACTGGTGTAAGATGGTATCTCATTGTAGTTTTGATTTGCATTTCCCTGATTGCAAGTGACGTTTGAACATTTTTTCATATGCCTGTCGGCCATTTGTATTTCCTCTTTGGAGAAGTTTCTTTTTAGCTCTTCTTCACATTTTTTGACTGGATTATTTTCTTTGTTTTTGTTGAGTTTCATCAGCTCTTTGTAGATTTTTGTGATCAGTCCTTTATCGTTAATGTTGTGTGCAAAAATGTTCTCCCAGTCGGTGGGGTTTCTCTTTGTTTTTGTTATTGTCTCTTTTGCTGTGCAGAAGCTCTTTAATTTGATGTAGTCCCAGCTGTTTATCTTTGCCTTCACTATCACTGCTTTGGGTGATGCGTCTGTGAAGATGTCTTTGAGGTGCATGTCATGTAGTGTTTCGCCTATATTTCCTTCTATATATTTTATGGTTTCAGGTCTTATATCTAGTTCTTTAATCCATTTTGAGTTGGTTTTTGTGCATGGTGTGAGGTAGTAGTCAACTTTCATTCTTTTGCATGTAGCGACCCAGTTTTCCTAGCACCATTTATTGAACAAACTTTCTATGCTCGAGGGCATATTCTTTGCTCCTTTGTCAAATATTAGTTGACCATACATCTGTGGGTTTATTTCTGGGTTTTCTATTCAGTTCCATTGGTCCATGTGTCTGTTCTAGTTCCAATACCATGCAGTTTTGGTTATTATGGCTTTGTAGTATAGTTTGAAATCTGGGCAAGTGATGCCTCCATTCCCTTCTTTTTTTTTTTCCAGAAGGGTTTTGGCTATTCGGGGTTTTTGGTGGCTCCATATGAATTTCATCAATATTTTTTCTATTTCTTTGAAGAATGACATTGAAATTTGAATTGGAATAGCATTGAATCTGTAGATTGCTTTTGGTAGGATGGCCATTTTGATAATGTTAATTCTTCCGATCTATGAGCATGGATGGACATCCATGGGATGTCTTTCCATTTCTTTGTGTCTATTTCTATTTCTTTTAACAGTGTTTTATAGTTTTCTTTGTATAGGTCTTTCACCTCTTTTGTTAGGTTTATTCCCAAGTATTAGATTTTTTTTGTTTTGGTAATAAAAGGGATAGTTTTTTTGATTTCTTCTTCTTCAGATTTATTGTTTGTGTATAGGAAGGCTATTGATTTTTGTGCGTTGATTTTGTATCCTGCCACTTTACTGAAGTGATTGATTAGTTTAATTAGTTTTTCTGTGGAGTTTTTGGGGTTCTCTATGTATATTATCATATCGTCTGCAAATAGTGATAGTTTGACTTCTTCCTTGCCTATTTGGATTCCTTGTATGTCTTTCTCTTGTCTTATTGCTCTGGCTAGGACTTCCAGTATTATATTGAAAAGAGTGGTGAGAGTGGACATCCTTGTCTTGTTCCAGATCTTAATGGGAATGCGTTCAGCTTTTCACCATTGAGAATGATATTGGCTGTGGGCTTGTCATAGATGACCTTTATGATGTTGCGATAAGTTCCTTGTATCCCGAGAATTTCAAGGGCCTTTATCATAAATGAGTGTTGTACTTTGTTGAATGCTTTCTCAGCATCTATGGATATTATCATAGGGTTTTTATATTTCTTTTTGTTGGTGTGTTGGATTACATCGATTGATTTTTGGATGTTGAACCATCCTTGTGTCCCTGGAATAAATCCTACTTGGTTGTGGTGAATTATCTTATGGATGCATTGTTGGATTCTGTTGGCAAAGATTTTGTTGAGGATTTTTGCATCAGCGTTCATTAGGGAGATTGGCCTGTAGTTTTCTTTTTTTGTGCTGTCTTTGTTGGGTTTTGGTATTAGTGTAATGTTGGCTTCGTAGACCGTATTTGGTAGTATTCCTTCTTTTTCAATTTTTTGAAAGAGTTTGTGTAGGATAGGCACTAATTCACTGCTGAACTTTTGGTAGAATTCATTTGCAGCACTGTGTAAGTTTCAGGTGTAAGCTGCAGCCTCACTCTACATGCCACACTGCACCAGCCACAAAATGTTACATAGTGTCTACTGTCTGTCCATCATCAACCAATAGCATTCCTTTACTTATTCACACCCTGTCCTCTGGTAACCACCATTCTGTTGTCAGAATCTAAGAGTTTGTTTTTGATGATTTGCTTTGTTTCTTTATATTCCACAAATGAGGGAAATCATACATTAATTTTTCTCTTTTGACTTATTTCACTTGGCGTAATCCTCTTAACTTTCATTTATGTTGTTGCAAATGGCAAGTTCATCCTTTTTAAAAAAATTGGAGCAGTATTCCATTGTGTACATATGCCACATCTCTGTATCATTCATCTGTCAATTGGACTTTGTTTGATTTCTTTTGTGAATAATGCTTCAGTGACCATAGGGATGCACATATCTTTTAAAATTTGTTTGTATAATCTTTGGAGAAATAACTAGAAGTGGAATTACTATTAATATATCATATGGTACTTTAATTTTTAATTTTTTGAGGGCCCTCCACCCTATTTTCCATAGTAAATTTTTAATTTTTTGAGGGCTCTCCA